GCGGACCACCCTGTGGAGCAGCACCCGGTTGATGGCCTTGACCACCTGCGGAGAGACACAGCAAAGCACGAATCAGTGGGGCGCGCGGGTGGCTGGGAGTGCTTGTGCCCTGGCAGTGCCCCACGCCCCACTCCCGGGAGCAACCCCCCCCGGGCGGTGTGTAGTATGCCTGGGAAAGACCATCCCCTCCGGTGCGGGGCACTTTTGCCTCCTCCCCCCGCCCCCGTCACCCCGTTTTCCCTGGGGCGGCCCATCCCCTCCTTGCAGCCCCCCTCGCCCCCGGCCCAGTGGCCGGCGAGTGCCGTACCTGCATGAGCACTGCTCCGACGGTGGATCTCCCTACGCCGAACTGGTTCCCGATGGATCGGTAGCTGTCCGGCGTGAAGAGCTTCCAGAGGGCGATGGCCACACGCTTCTGGACGGGGGTGGTGCTCCGACGGTGGATCTCCCCACGCCAAACTGATCCTGACGGATCGGTAGCTATCTGACGTGGAGAGATTCCAGAGGGTGATGGCCACACGCTTCTGGAGGGGGATGGCGGGCCTCATGCGAGTGTCCCTTCTGCGCAGATCAGGGGCGAGCCACTCGCAGAGCTCCAGGAAGGTGTCCCTCTTTATCCTGAAGTTCTGGGTCCACTGTTGGGACCCACCAGTCGCTGCTCCCCAGCGCTCCAGGACGATGTGGTCCCACCAGTCGCTGCTGGTGTCCAGACGCCAGATGCGGCGGGGCACGCTGGTGCCCGGGTGCCACCGCAACTGCGCCATGACCCCCAGGATGGCCAGGTGGAGAGGCAGGGGGCTGACGTGCACCAGGTGGTGCCAGGCAGCCTCGAGCCATTGCTGGCAGGCTTGCAGCAGCAAGTCCATAAACTGCACCAGAAAGTGCAGGGCGAGCTCTGGCTCCATGTTGCCACCTGCGGCGGTGTCCCTAAAGGGAAGCACCGACACAGACGGGCGCAGAGAAAAACGCTTTGCTGTCCCTCGGTGAGGTAGGCAAGCAAGCGGAAAAGCTGAGAACTGGCTGTCCAAGGGGGGTCCCTTTAAACACGAGCCTCAGATAGCAGCCACACAAAGCAACTACTGACCTGATGCCCTGCCAGAACCAGTTTCAGCCGCCCTTAAATGCGCCCCTGCGTCCAATCAGTGTGGACACGCTAGTTCGAATGAGCAAAATGCTTATTCGAACAAGTTTTTAAGTCGAGATGCGGTTCGAATTAGCTTAGTTCGAATTAACTAATTCGAACTAAATTAGTTCGAATTAGCGCTGTAGTGTAGACAAACCCTTGGTGATTAATTGTTCTGTTCATTCCCTCTGGGGCATCTGGTATTGGCCACTGTCAGAAGACAGGACACAGAGCTAGACAGACCTTTGGTCTGACCCAGTTTGATATTCTTAGTATTAAGATTGCCTGTGCAATCTCAATTTGATTGCCTTGTGAACAAACATTACGATACAGCCTGTAATTATATTCTCACACAGAGAGATTTTCAAAGGGAAAAGGTCACCAGAATTTCTTTAACATGGGCAACAAAATATCCCTTCCCCTCAGCTTCATCTTGCAAATAATTTGGGTAAAGTTTAGGGGAGGAAATGCCATGATGGGGCATACAGCCTGCATGAAAAATTTGAGCCCAGCAATTAAGTTTGCCAAAGTTATAAACAATAAGCAACTGAAAACTGGGTCTTATAATGGGAAATAATCAGGCAGCCTTAACAACAAACAAATGCAACCAACTCTGCCTACAATGAATTCTGTGTCCTCTGAACTAGGATATAACCAATATGTTGGCTCCCCAGGAATCTGGGTACTGCACTCTATCTACCAACTTTAGTTTCAGCACACTCACCTGACTGACAATGAAGAAGATAATAGTCATTGCCGCACAAGCTAGAGTGATGAGCATCAAGAACTTGAACCTAAAAATCAGCCCCTATTTTGACAGAGAGAGAAAGAGATGATGACACCAGGCATCGTAACAGAGCAGACAAAAATCCCATTTCAATTTTTAGCTTCCAAGAAAAGATGGGAGTGGGTGAGGGGAAAGAGCTCAAAACCACAACACCCACAATCAACATCACGCACTGGCTCCTTCATCCTACCCTGGTGACAGCCAATATCCTGTTCCCCCACGTCTGAATTTCTCTCAGTTACAATGAGTGGAGTGTAGATGTCTTGACTGCTAAGGCTTTCCATTACATTTGCTCCTCTGAAATTAAGCTGATTTACTAAGAGCTAATGTGAAGGAGACTCTTGATTTTATGCAAAGCAGCATGTGCACTACCAGTAGAAACAAAATCTAGCTGTAGATGCTCTACTAATCTCCTGAGCAGTGACAGAGTGCACCACTTCCAGGGAACACTGATCAAGACTGATCTATTTTACAAATATTTTCTGTTTCTAGAATTTGGGTTTACCTAAAAGGGATGCAATTTCCATAGCCCAAGAAAATTTGGTAGGGAAATTTAAGAAGATTGCCTATAGGTTGAACTATAGATTAAGGACAAAATGTACATGGTTCGGGGTGCTTATCACAGACTTCATTTGCTTTTTTTTAAAACATCTGTTTTTAACTTAATGAAGATGGATATTTTAGTTATGTTAGTTTTGAATCACACTGACTCAGGCATCTTGGAGAGGAGTGCGTGAGGACATTTTACAAGTTTGTGCACAGCTGCCATTGTGCAGCAGGGGGGCTGAGGGCAACATGACTGCTGAAGTCCTCAGGGCAAGGACTATCTTTCTGTTAGGTGTTTGCACAGTGTCCTAGGCTCTACTGCAATACAAAAATTCACAAGCCCTGTGCTGTGCTTCCTCTCAAGGAAAAAGGCCTAAAGAAGAGCTATGACTTAGAGGAAGTGTCTGCAAAATGCAGTCTTTTTTAAAAGGTACATTACTTGTTCCAGTAAATGAGTCACAAATGATCTGTGTAGACACAGAATTGGACTCATTAGAACATTTTCTACTAAAACTTTATAGTCCCTTAAACCTTAATCACAAAGGGGGGGTGGGGGGAACACATTCATGACTTGACAAACTCTATGTGGGTTCCTCTTTCTGCTCTGCAACAGCAATTAAGCAGGATGAGTACAGCTCCAACCAGAGGCAAATGTGCTCTCAGGAGAGGATGGCAAGCCAGAAATTCTGGCTTTGAGGCTGTTCCAATGCAGACTCCCTTGAATGGTTTTGGCAAGTCACATGATCACCCTGCATCATTTCCCTTATCTGTAATAATAATAGTAATAATAAGAAGTGCTTTCTATCAGTAGATCCCAGATTGCTTCGCCAAGGAGGTCCGTATCATTATCCCGGTTTTATAAATGGGAAAACTAATGCACAGAGAGGTGAACTGAATGGCCCACAGTCTCGCCAGACCCAGCCCACTGCTCTATTCACTAAGCCACACTGCTCTGAAAAGAAACCAAGAGTAGATTGGGAGTAAATGCCTACAAGCACATGTGAAATGAGAGAGAGTTAGTGTTTGTAAAGTACTTTGAAGATGGAAGCTATTAGGTGGGGGCTAAACATCAGAAGGAAAAAAAGATGAGATCAGCTCACAAAAAAGCAGTTAGGAGAGTTTTTGCAGCATGAGAAAACTAGTAAAAGATAAAGTTTTCTAAATTATGAGTGGGGAGGAAGCTAATGAGAGTGGATACATTTTGTTGGTAGATCAGCAGCAATCTTTTTGGAATACTAAAGCAATGATCGCATGCACACATTTAATCCAACAAAGGTTTTCTAACCTCATAATGAAGTCTGCGAGCCTTGCTCATTGCTGGGAGGCTGGATTGTTTCCCACTAATGTTTCTGAAAACTTGAAACACCATGAAACACAAAAACAGGAAGTAGAGGCAAAGGCAGATTCCTGCAACTATGATAAATGCCATCTGAGCAGTAAAGTTAAAGGGAACAGCTCCTTGACAAAGCAGGACATTGAAAAAAAAATATTATCCAGATAATTTGTTTACTTTTGTAAAATTCTGTTACAATGATCCTAATTCAGGTTTCTATCTAGTGTGTATGAAATAGAAGCTGCACTCTAAAACTTCCCTGTGAGCAAATGTGTATACTTCTCTGTCCCTTCCACAGCTCAGTCCCGGAGCACACACTCTTTTGTTCCCAAGCACTTAGCCTGCAGGAGTTTTAAACATTTTATCCCTCGTTAACACCGTATTAAAAGGGCTAAGCTGGAATTGTCACTTCTGTCTGCTAGCATGGAGAGACAGGGTTTAGCAGAGAAGATGAGAAGTAATCACCAGCCAACATGCAATCTTTGACGACTCCTGCAAGAGGACTGGGATGTTGGGGAAGTGAAACTAATCACATTACCTTATCTTAGCCTAGTAATAAAAATTAAATGCAGCTGAAAACACTTCCAGTGTGAGCAGACAAATTTAAAAACCAATTTGTAGAAATGCAGTAGAACCTCACTTCCAAAGTGTCAGCAATGAATATGAACTGCCCCAGAGAAAAAATGGTTATAGTTCAGACCAGTAGAGGGAACAAGATAGGGGGTACAAATTAGACAGGATTTGCTCATCACCCCCACCCTAACTCCAGATGTGCCATTTCCTCGACTTTCTGCAGCTGAGGCAGATGCTAATTTTTCCTATTCACTTCCCTTATCTCAATACTAATCTCAGAATTCATCCTTGCAGCAAAATCTACATGCTGCGTTAATATTTGATCAAACCTAATGTTTGATAGGTTATTCAAACGGCAGTCTGGATCCTCCAATATTTTAAAATCAGAAACAAAATGTCCCAGTCCAATCATATCAGAGTGAGCAGGTTTTTCCATCAGATTCAATAAGTATTTTGAGAAAGTGAAATGTTTAGTTACTAAAATGTATTTCTCATTCAAAACCCCCCCAAAACCAAAATAAGTATTATTGCACAATAACAGATAGAAGGATACAGCCAGCTCCGTGCCAACATCTGTGGTCCAAATACTGTAGAATGGGTTTTTCAGTTGTACCCCTCTAAAAATAGGAGAGAACTTAGGGCAATCAGAATTCATGTAAAAAAAAAAAAATGTCAAAGATCCTGTAAAATACATTCTTACACCTCTAACACCACATTACTCATTTTTCTAAAATACCATGTTGCAATTTGGGAATGTATTTGAAGGTGGGGAAAGACTTCAGTTTACATTCCAGTGGATATGTAATCTTACAAAAAAAACAGTCTAATGGTTTAACTTCATAATACTATGAAAGCCAAAGGAAAAGCCTTCTTGTCTCTTTGTAAGAAAATGGTGATACACATGCTTGCACAATTGTGGTCATAATTGGGACAGACTGTACCTTGTTTGTCCAAAATAGCTTGTGTCAAGCTATGCAAAACCATGGCATTTTAAAAAATGTATCAAGCTTACTAGCTGAGAGGGGATTTTTGTCACTTACACAGTACTAAAGCCCCCTCCTCCTCTTCCATGATGCAGAATTAATGGCTCCACACTGCTTCAAAAAGCATTTATTGCAAATGGGTAGGGATATGCATTAAAAAAAAAAAATCTTCCTCATAAATATTAACACAGGAAACTGGGATGAAAACTTTCCACTCCATCATAATCCAACCTCTTAACTTTTAGGTCTTGATACACATATCAATGAAGAGATAAAATAAGGAATTATATTTTAGCCTACAATGAGTGCAGAATAGGGTAAAAAGCCTCATTTAAAAAAAAAAAAAAAAGAAAAAAGACAGACTATATCTACTGTATTTTCATCCTGAATGTCACTTACCATTCCAAAGCAGTTTTCTGAGAATGCTCAATAATTTAGTCTTTGAACTGCCAGTCAAAAATCTTTGCCCCGTGAGAGCTAATATTGCTACAGAACGTATATGTAGGCATGCAAAATGCTACCTTTTATTTTTCTCTCTGACACACTTTTCAGTCATTTTCCAGTAAGAAGTTTACTTTTAAATAATGCAATTGGATCTCAACGGGAAAACTGAAATTGGGGAAATTGCTACTCAGGTGTCTAAAATTGAGCAGAGTGCTTGGAGGAAACAGTTTTACAGGGGGACTAATGACTTTACTGCCTAATCTGAGGAACAGGGTCTTGCCATTCATTCCCTTACCGAAAGGGCACAGAAAGGGGGTTGATAAAATGCCAGTGTTGGTATAAGACCCAAACGATTGGCTACAATTTCATACCAACTTTTCAAACCTTGTCTCAAAGCTATTAGAAAAAGGCAGACTAACATGGACTCAGTATAAAGATCGATTGTATCCAAATAACTGCGGCATAAGACAAGGACACCACCTCACATCAGAGCACAATCACAATAGCACTATAGAGATGAAGAGGAAAAAAAAGTGTGTGTTACCTCTCACACATGTCAAAGATGAAAAGGCAGAAGGCACCAACCGCTATGGGCCCAACCTGTTTCCAGTACCCAGAGAGACGATTTCGTTCATTTTGATCCTAGTGAATCAAGCCATGGAAAAGGATAAAGTTAATTTGTGGGGAAGGGGGAAAAAAAAAAAAAAAAAAAAAAAAAAAAAAAAAGAGTGCCTGAACTATGAAACTAGTGAGATGACAGCAAAAGATATTCCTAAATCAAGAAAGAGGTTGCTTACTAGTTGCTGCTTGGAGTCACCTCTGTGCATTTCCACTGGTGGGATATGGCCTCCCAGGTTTTGAGCTACATAACTTCCTTGGGAAGCCAAGTAAATTGGGGATTGTCATGGGGTGGTCCTTCCTTCCCCCCCCACCCAGGAGAGGGGTGTGTGTTTAGGGTCCCATGTTCTTGGACTATCTGAGCCTATGGCACGCCCTGTGCAACTGGTAAACCACCTGTAATTTGGCCCCTCCCCTCAGGGCTGGATGGCCTAATTGCCAGAGGTGGTAAAACAAAATTGCTCGCTGGCTCTCTAAGGCAGGGCTGGACAGCCCAATGAGCCAAGTCACAGGGGTGGGGGCTATGCCCCAGTAGGGGGACCCGGGCCCACCTTACTCCACCGGGTCCCGGGCCAGGGCTCTGTGAGTGGAAGAACGGTCCACCACTCCCTTGGCAGGGAATCCAACTGAAACACGCTGAGGATCTCTGGATGGGAGAGATCTCTCCTGCACCCTCCCTGGACCACTTCCTACATGATCCAATGGACCAACTTCCCATGTGGTAGCTAGGTCTTCTGACTCCTAGGGGCCTGACTTCCCTGGTGGTCTGCAGTGGTTATGTCCCAACCAGCGTTGGAGCCACCGCTCTTTTCCCCTCGGGTGGCTGACTGTTGCTGGTCAGGAGCGCCAACCTGAGGTCCTTCTCCTCCAGCAGCCAACCCAGAGTGAGCTTCTCCCCAGGCTTTTATATCTGGGCTACAATCTGAGCATGCCCAGTAGGGTTTCAGGGGCAGGGCTCCTTCAGCCAGGGTACCCTGTCTAACCCCTGTTAGTTCAGTGTGGGGCTGGTACACCACGTTACACACCCTCCCCCTTAAGAGGGATGGTGGGGGTGGCGTTGCTGCACCATCCTCTCTGACCCTTAAAAAAGTCCTCATTGGCTTGGGTCTTCCTTGGGCAGTGCACTACCTGGAAAACATAAGATTGGAGAGATAAGTACCATCGCATGACTCGTGCATTGGAGTCCTTCATGGAGTGGAGCCACTTCTGCGGCGCACGGTCTGTGACCAGCGAGAATCAGCTCCCTAAAAGGTAATACCTGAGTGCCTCTACTGCTCATTTCACAGTGAGAGCCTCCTTTCTCTATCGTGGAGTATCGTGTCTCTCGCGGGAACAGCTTTCGGACAAGGTATAAAATGGGATGTTCCTCACCTTCCTTGTCCTGTGATAAAATGGCTCCCAACCTCACCCTGGAAGAGTCAGTTTGTAAAATACACAGGCTGTCGAAGTCTGGCTGGATAAGCACTGGTTCTTGGGTCAGTTGCTCCTGCAAGCTCTGGAAGGCAATTTCACAGTCCAGGGACCATTCGACGTGGCAAGATCGGGGGTTCTTTGTGAGGTCCGTAAGTGGGACCACTATTGTAGCGAAGTTTGGGCTAAAACGTCGGTAGTATCCCGCTAGCCCTAAGAATTTCTGCACTTGCTTCTTTGTGGTGGGAGTAGGGTAGTCTTGTAGCGCTTGTACCTTGTCCACCAGAGGCCGGAGCTGTCCTCTCACAACGATATAATCCAGGTAGCTCACCTCTTGCTGGCCCCAGTGGCATTTGGCTGGGTTTACCGTAAGGCCTGCCTCTGCTAAGGTTTGCAAAACGCGGGTCAGGAGCTAGCAGTGCTTGGCCCAACTGTGGCTGTAGACCATGATGTCATCGATGTAGGCAGCTGCATAGGCATTGTGCGGGCCTAGCACTTTATTCATAAGCCGCTGGAAGATAGCTGCTGCCCTGTACGAACCGAAATGCATTGTGGTGAACTGGAACAGCCCAAAGGGGGTCGAGAACGCCATCTTCTCCTTCAAGGCTGGTGTCAAGGGGATCTGCCAGTAGCCTTTGGTTAGGTCCATGGTGGATATGACCCTGGCGCGGCCTAACCATTCTAGTACTCATCTACCCAAGGCATCCAACCTGAGGTCCTTCTCCTCCAGCAGCCAACCCAGACAGCCTCTCCCCAGGCTTTTATACCTGGGCTACTGTCTGAGCATACCCGGCAGGACTGTGGGGGCAGCACCCCTTGAGCCAGGGTAACCTGGCTAAACACCATTTGGTCAGTGCAAAGCTGGTACTCCCCATCACAGGGATACACAAAAGAGCTTGTACAAGGGTGGCATTATTGTCCTATCCTATGTATGGAAATGCAGTCCCTCTTGACCTCCCCTTCACCCAGCTGCCTGTGTTCCTTCTCCCAAATCACACATTCCCTATGGTCATACACAATTCTGAATAGAGGGGAAGATGGGCAGGTAGTGGGAATGCAGAGAGGAGACTCCTGAAGAAGAGTTAATGGTTTCTATTTCGGGGAGATTAGCAAGCAGCTTGTCCATACAGAGGAAATTAGATGAGTTCTATTTAAATATAGGGCTTGTCTATGCCATAGAGTTCCCTGGGCACTAGGGAACTAAGTGCACACCAGCTGGGCCCACACAAGCTCTGATGTGCACTAGAGTGCCACAAAGCCCATAGACTGTAGCACTGTGTTCTGCCAGTCTGGGCACTGCAGCACCATGCTATTTCCAAGGAATGGAGTCCAGTGGAACTGTGCACAACAATCCAAATAGTTGCTTTGCAAATATCCAGTATACACCAGGGAAGCTTGTCTAAGGCAAGCTACTGATGCTGGAATTGCTCCTGGGAGGAGGGTCTTTAAACCAGGAGATACTAACACCAGTGTCTGGTTTGTAACAGGTTCTCCCTGGCATTTCTATCCAAATGCTACTAACAATTTAAGACACTTCTAAGAGTAAAGAGGCTCTTGTTTCCATCATCACACCTACCATCATATGCTCTCCACAAAAGATGATCCAAAATGACAGAAGCATGGCATAGAAGATTCCTTGTCGAATATCTCCAAAGAGCAACATCCAAGTCCAATCAAATCCAATAGAAAACCATTCTACTGGGATGTTTATGAATGTCATGGAGATACCAAGAGCAAAGATGACCCTGGAGAAAACAAAATTGTTTTTCATTTCAAAGGAAGGACCAAGAGGACTGTGCCAAAGAAGTTTCAAGAAGAAGTAGAGGTTACTGGTGAGGACTACAAAATGCCTTTGTGATTCATGGAGAAGTGAGGGACATTGCCCCCCTTTTGCCAAGACATGTTCCCATTGATCCACCCACACAGCAGTACTACTATCTTGCCTCTCCAGAGTCACCATTACTGAAGGGTGACTTGGCAAGAAATGTATCCAAAGACCCTGCTAAGGAATTACAACAGATGCTATTTTCAGAGTATTGGTTGGGCAGTCAAATTCTTACGGAGCTAATTCTACACATGCATCCAAAAGCACATAGGGCCCTGATGCAGAAGTCTAGTGTATTTCTGCCACACTAGGAGACCCGGATCAGAACCTGCAGAGCTGACACACAGGGTAGAGATAAATAGGTCTGCTACACAGACCTATAGAGGCTTCCTGTGCTCCACCAAAAGGTTTTGAGAGGCAAGTTCTGTGGATCCCGGATTGCTGTGCGGGAAGGGGCAAGTCACATAAATAGGAGGAATGTATCCGGAATGCAGACTTTGTTCTGCATTGAGCTGCAGTAGAGCAGCTCTGCTGCTACACTGGCTTGGCCAAGAGTGGGAAGCAAGAGGAAAAAAATCCCACATCAATCCACAGGGTAGGGGCTGGCAAACTAGCACCTGGCCAGTGTACTGGGGCCTTGCCCAAGGCATACATTTGGACTTAAATCTTGTGTGTTGTCTGGATCACAGTGAGTTACTCCTCTACTCACTTTTCCAGCAGGACAGGAGCACGTGTCATCATGGTGATCCGTCTCCAATACCAAACCATTATAATGAAGATGCTGGGTGTCAGGAAGGTTTTCATTGCAAACCACACCTTTGTAAAACCACCGTTTTGATGGATACCCTGAGAACATAAGTTTAAACATGGGAGCTGTACAATATTTCTTTCCTTACTTATAGACAAGATCAGATTTTCATTCTCCTGTTATAGTCACAGGCAGGGATGCAAACGGGTAATGAGGAAGCAAGGCTTACTGGTAACTGGCACCCAGCCCGGCCAGAGCAGTCCCCTGCCCGCAGCCCTGTGGGGCTGGGAGCCAGCAGCTTGCAGTTAGTTTCACAATTAACTAAATTTTGATTGGTTACATGTTTAATATTTTTATATATTTTTTACGTCCCTAATCAGAGCCTGGTAGAAGTTGCAATAGTCTAAACTATAGTCACTTAACATCAAAGATTATTGCTTGTGACATGCACAGCTGAACAGTGTCAAAATGGAAAAAGCTGGAAACAGCTGTTTCATGAGTCCTCTGACCATTCAGTCCAAGTAGAATGTTTAAGATTCCGGATAACTTGGGTAAATATTGCAACATTTCAATTTCCAAATACCCAGACATTTATAGAAAACAGATTCTTTTAGTACTGGTGTTTAATACGTTTAATATTTTTGCATACAATTTAATTAATAAAAGTTTCCACTCATTTAAAAAAAATTATTCAAACATGAAAATTGGTCAGCTTAATATTAAATGGGGAGGGATGAGGATATACATGATGATTACCTTGCTAATTACAGAAAGAGCCTCCAGGCAAATTGATTGTTGCACCACATACGGATGTAAGCAACTAGTTGACTACTCTATAAGCCTAGCCCTAGGCTTATCGGGTAGTTGCGTCACTATTTGACTAGTCACTTACTCCCCACTTGGGGAAGAGGGGAGTAGGAGCCAGTGCTGAGGGGAGCCAGTTTAAAAGCCAGTTCCCCCCAGGACCATCTCCATAGGGAATGGGGTGAGGTGGGATGGGGGGAGGGAGACAGAGGTGGCAGAGGCGTAGCAGGGGAAAGGACACAAGCAGGAACTCAAGCAGTCCCACTCGTGCCAGATCCAACTGTTGTGCCTCATCCTTATAAAATACAGCAAGAGCCCTGTACATTTAAAAGGCAGAGGCGCAGTCATGATCGTGAGTGCCCACCTCTCCCTTTATCGACTAATGGAATAGTCAATGGAAAAAAATCCATCAACTATTCGATTAGCTGATTAGTCAAAATTTAATATCCCTAGCACCAGAAACAGCTCAGATCGAAAGCCAAAACAGTAAGAAAGACAGACAAGCTCTACGACATTAAGTGGTGGGAGAGGGGGGACCATTTAGGTTCTCTACGCTTTGATGGACAACATTATTTAAGACTGAAATGAGGCAGACACAACATTTAAAAACACATTTGTTGAAATCAAAGTTGACATGATTAAGAGAGTTTTCTCTTCAAGTGCTATTATTCCATTTTTCCTATTTCCCCTCATCCATTATTTTAGCTCTTTGCCTCAAGTGATCATGTAATTGGAGGCATATTTTTCCAGTAAGTTAAACTCTGCTCCAAAACCAGACTGCATATAATAGAAAAATGTTAGTGAGGCTTAATAAAATTGCCTGCTTCTGGAATCAGTCAAAGAAGCAATTACCAGCAGAGCAGAACAGCAATGAATTATCCCACAAAGGAAAAGTTAGTCTGGTGGGAGAGGGATGATAAAACTAGAGAATAGTCAAAGTAGAGATCCAGTAAGAAAAGAGTGTCTGCATTGGTGGTGGAAGTTGTACACGTTTACTGACTGTAAAGAAAATATTCACTAAGGGCTCATCTAGACTACGCAGAAAATTCAAAAGAGGATATGTAAATTCCGTGGGAGGAGTAATTAAGATGCTTTCAGCAACCCTCCTCCCCCTTTTAAAAAAGCCGCGTAAACCTCATTTTTTGAGGGGGGGGCGAAAAAAGGGGGGGCGCGAAAAATGCATCTTGATTACTTTCACATGGAATTTGCATATCCTCTTTCGAATCTTCCGTGTAGTCTAGATGAGCCCTAAAACTCTTAATAGTCAATAGAGCAGGATTAGTCAAAAAGCAGCTGATGGGCCAAATTCAGACCACCAGATGCTTTTGAAAGGACCTTAAAATCTTTTAATTTACTGATTACCATCATGAATTATTTTCTCTGAAATCTGGATCTTGACAAAAAAAATTAATCGACTAATCCTGGAATCAAGCAATTGTGCTTTTGTGCAGAACCAAGAAACAGGATTTTTTCCTGTGGTAAACTTATGACTGATAGCAAATCATGAGCTCAATAAAGGTTGGATTCTATTAATCTTTTCACTGTTGACACAGCAGTGAGTCTACATTAAAACACAATCCTACTCTAGTGAAGAGGGAGACCAGAGTAAAGATAGCAATGAGACAGGCACACTTACCACCAAGCGAACATCCCTTATTTCGCCAATTCCCACATTAATTAGTTTTCTTTCATTCACAGGGAGTCGAATGTTGATGAGGTAGAATTTATGCGCCACAGTTCCAATTTCCATGAAAGGGAGCACATCACAGTCGTAGTGTCGCCCTTCATGCTCTTTGGTCTAGTGGCACAGTAGCGAGAAGGAAAATGCAAAGGGGTTAGCTTTGTTCACTTTTACAGTGAACCCTCGTTTATCGCGGTAGATAGGTTCCAAACCCGACCGCGATAGTTGAAAATCCGCGAAGTAGGGACATGTATATTTAACATGTATACAGCGAGCCCTCGCTACTTCGCGGTTCGACCATCGCGGATTCACGTATATACATAATGTAATGAAAAAAGTCCGCGAAGTCGTGAATCCGCGATGGTCGAACCGCGAAGTAGCGAGGGCTCACTGTATATGGACTTCAAAAGTGATACAATCAATAGTTCTAAAGCAGTAACTAGTCCTTCCCGGGTTCTAATTTGGAGATGTATAGCACAGACTTCTTGTTTCACCACATTTCAACTTGTCCGCTTTTAGGAAACCAGGAAGTATGATAAATATAAAAAGAAAGCCAAATCCACCTCAGGGTATAGTCTCCAATTTCACAGGGAGAAGCAGTTCACTGTGTATCAACTAGTTTTCTGTGAAAAAATAAACTAGTGAGAACATATTTGAACCCTTTACTTCCTGAACAATTTGTCTGAATACTAATCATGATTGCTGGTTTTAATCCGCGGCTATGTAAAAAAATAACGTGTGTCATGATTCTATGGTTACTCAGGCAGGCCTTCGTGTGGAATTCAGGGTAGGTTACAAACACTGTTGGTCTGGCCTTTCCTCACAGAATTGAGAGATTCTTAGGTAAGGGTATATCTACACTACCCCGCTAGTTCGAACTAGCGGGGTAATGTAGGCATACCGCACTTGCAAATGAAGCCCGGGATTTGAATTTCCCGGGCTTCATTTGCATAAGCCGGCCGGCGCCATTTTTAAATGCCGGCTTGTTCGAACCCCGTGCCGCGCGGCTACATGCGGCACGGGCTAGATAGTTCGGAATGGCTTGCTAGTTCGAACTATCTAGCCCGTGCTGCGTGTAGCCGCGCGGCACAGGGTTCGAACAAGCCGGCATTTAAAAATGGCGCCGGCCGGCTTATGCAAATGAAGCCCGGGAAATTCAAATCCCAGGCTTCATTTGCAAGTGCGGTATGCCTACATTACCACCCTAGTTCGAACTAGGGTGGTAGTGTAGACATACCCTAACAGAACATAGCCTGACACATGGCACAGCAGTCCCAGTTCCAGTAGAGCTTTGTGGTGCACATTAAATTAGCCACTTACTACTGACTAATGCTGCAATTATCAGCACTGTTAAATTATTCAGATTGTTTCACAGCACAGATCAGTACAATCCAATCAAGTATACCAAGGCATGTTAATTTCAAAAAAGTTATTTTGTTGTGTAAAAGATAAAAAGCATGATTTTCATTTTACATGTTCAATTTTCACACAGAAGGACTTACAGGTAGTGAATATAGTAATTATTTTGTATTTAATAGAAATTTTATTTAGACCTAGAGCCTGTAATTGATACAGATTACATTAAACATTTTAGACAAAAAAATGTAAGCAGTCATGCAGCATCTAATATCAAATGCTAAGCAGGGATAACAGATCTGAAATCATTAGCCAGCATTGTTTGTCAAATTGCCAGCAAAATCCTATTAGTAGATCAATTGCTGCTTAATATTTCAGGATAAATGGATTTTTAAAAAAAATTGATGCTTTTCACTGGGTCATTATTAAATAGTTCATTTTAATCAACTTCTCCATTTGTACTTGAGAAAATTAGCTGAAGAAAGGTACATTTTCATTGGTTGATATAACTATTAAAACATGTTTGTTTACAATTAGAGAGAGCTTTTACATTAGATTGGTACTTTTTTGCTATCTAGAATGATAGCTTATATGTATTTGTTCAAATAACCATATAGCTTAATATTTTCAGAATGTTACTAGACAATTAAAGTTTTGCTGATCATATGTGTTGAGATGGATAAGGATGGCAGAGTTTCATTAGAACAGAGCTGCATTAACACAAAATAACCTTACATGGTTTTGAATAATCTCATCATAAAATGTGTCACATTTGCAACTATGTGATTTATTTTAAAAAACAGAGGGATTAACTGCAGTAAGTGAAAAACTATATTTCAGGTCAGCCTGGGAAATTTTTCAAATGTACTTAAGTGAAATTGACTGGAGCTTGACTTCCCACTTACCTGAGAGCTGCACTACATGAAGAAGTTAGGTCTACCCAGATACACTGGTAGTAAAAATTTCACACCTGACATATAGTAAGCTGATTTAAACCCCAGTGTAGACAGCACTTAATAGATGGAAGAATTTCAGAGAATCTAGTTTTTGTCTCAGAGAGAGGTGGATTTACTTCAACAGAACCACCCTTCTGTTATAATAGTTTCTGCAGTGCCTGTTTATTGGGTCTTAGATCATAGAATCCTAGAACTGGAAGGGACCTCGAGAGGTCATTTAATTTTCCATTTTTGAAGAACAGCCTAAGAAACTTTTTCCTCATTTCTGATTCCCCTCTCTTTGTTTTTAATTCATACACTGAAAGAGACAGACAAGTGTTCCTGTTTCAAATCTCAGTTGATTTTTCAACCTTGCACAAAATACGTTAAAAAAACAAAACAAAAAAAAAAAAACACCTCTGTGCTTGCAAGAGGCTGGTGCTATTAAAAGCTGGTTCAGAACTTCAACAAGTTCTTACTTCAGGTGCTTAGCTAGGAATTTAAATCAGTTAACTGGTGTGGCTATTTTTAAAAGATGAGCACCTGCTGCTTGCAGGGTTCACCTCCAGCTGTGCAGTGTATTATTGTTGGCATGACTGATGGGTGTTTAGATGCCCATGTCCAGCATCTAGTCTAGTACTTTGGGTTGAAAATATCGGCAAGAAAATGACGTGGAATAACCACTTGATCTGTCCACTTTTTACAGCCTACAGTGTAGCTTTGTTGTTGGGCATCTCTTTCTTCAATGTCTTGAAATTCTTTCAGAATTTCCTCAGTCTGAGCAATACAGTGGCACTGTCTCTTTCTGCAGTTTGTGCAAGGCTATGGGAATAAACTGAGTACACTGAAAGCCACCTCCTGAATTTTCCTTTTAGTTCAATGTTGCCTACTTCAACCATGAGAGTTCTGTTTTGTCATGATTTTCTTCACAAACTGTCACCAGAATGGGTCAGTTCTTAACAAAACTGCTTGTAGCTGGAGGAGTGTTTGGAGAACACAGCCTGATACAAGGCCTGAATCAAATCCAGTGAAAGTTATGCCATGAGCAAAAAAAGTCAGGCCCCGTCAAAAGCAGATGCTTGCCTTCAAGTTAGTGTCCAGTATGTAAACTCAGTACCAGCACTGCTAAAATCCAATACTGAATATGTAGATTACATTTTCGCAGGCTAGGCAGGACAAGAACACCCCAACCTAGTGCATGACAATATGGTTTGACAGAAGTGACAAAGCAGGGATGTTTTGTCTGAAGCACAAGGGGAAAGTTAAAAGGGGAGGTAACAAACAGGTCACGGAACACGTAAGGGAATATGTAAGATACTTTCATTGTCTCAGTCTAGAAATGTCAGGATGTCTCTCCTTAACCCTTTGCCTGACCAAGGGAAGAGCAGAAAGTTTTACCACTCACTGAGCTGGTCCACCATCACAGGCACACATATACATACTGCAGCCCATATAGGGCACTTCTTAGCATATGTACAATGTACCTCATTCATCACTGAATTTGGCCTGCTGGCTGAATCATTAGCTTCCCTGGCAAGAGCTGGACACTGACGCGGAGTGCAACGTGAATATGATCCATGCCTCCCATAACATGCTTTGTCAGCAATGCACCTGGCTGAGCACCTTCAGCACTGAACAGAGTCTGCGGTCTTCTTGGATAATTCAACTGAAGTCTGCTGTGGGGGCTATCTAGCCAGAGCCTGCACAGCATGCAGAGAGAACACCCACAGCCAACAAGTAACACCACAACTCAGAACAGCTCCCCATTGAATTCCTTACATCATGCATTTGAAGAAGATTTAGTTTGAATCTTCCTGCTCTATTCACTGAAGCAGAGGCAAAGTGGTTGGTATAGAAGTATCTTGTAATTTCAGCATTTTTCTTTATTCCTAGAGATGTACATAAGCTTTTGACTGAAAAGACACCTCACAATAGGATGTCAAAGTTTCAGGTTGCCTTCGTTCGCTTCTAAAATGTTTTCTCATCTTAGCTACACTTGCAGCATTGACTGTGATAAAGTGCCACCCTTGAATATTTGTTCAGTTTGCGACAGCACAACAAAAAATTAGTTAGTACTTAGCCACTGACACTAAGAGACACTATCATGTATCCTATCATCAGGTCAGGGAATGATCCTGACGAGAGGATATGTTAGCGTCTAGTAGCTTCAGAGGCCAGGTTCCAACATACGCAGTGATTTTGCCCATCTCTTGCACTAAGTAGCACAGGTCTCCCCCGCTCCCACAAAAGCCTTTCACATAGTACATGGACTGTTTGTGCAATATTTATAAAGCCTGATCTCACAAATTAGACAAAAGAGGGGAAAATATCCTTCTTCATATAGAAAAGCAGCTTTTAACTCCAAGTTCTAGATGTGCTGAATCTCTAGAGTCCACTTCATTGATCTTAAAATCCTTTCTTAAAGCTCTCATTTGCCAACAACCCTAATTATATATCCTCTCCCCACTCCAGCAACACTACCCAACTTGGCAATGGACAATTAGCTGGGAAGCTGACACCATGGCTCAGCATGCAGACTAACACCAGCTCATTATTTCCTGGGGTTCCCTGTACACCTGCCAATGGTTTCTTCTCTTACCTGCTTGTCAACTCTGAGGCAGATATAATCTTTTTTTCCCCTGTGTTTATACAGCACCCATCACAGTGGGGTCCTGGTCCCCTACAGGACTCTTGCATTAATACAAACACCATCACCTTATATGCAATATGCTGCAGGAGATGCCATTTCAGATTTCTCACCAGGAGCACAAGAACTGGAGTCAGTTATCTTTCCTCAAATACCAGAATTACAAAGCAAAACAAAAAAGTTACCTGTCCTTATCATTCCATCCACCCCTACTACAACTTTCACTCAACAAACCACCAAATCACAATCATTAACCTAGAAGTGGTGAGTGGCTCAACTCCTGGACACTTTATTGTAGTAGGGATATTTTAAAAACTTTTGTTCATGACACTTTTTCCTTCCTGAATATGTAGTGATTTTTTTTTAATTATTTATTAAAAGTAGACCTCTAATGCTTTTAAAAAATATGTAGACTTTCAAAGTTAATGATTATTTAAGCGACGAGGAGTCCTGTGGCACCTTAGTCTCCTCCAAAAGGACTCCTCGTCGCTTTTGCAGATTCAGACTAACACGGCTACCCCTCTAATGATTATTTAGGATCCCAAATTCATTTCTTTAGAGAGAACACATGTACACTTTTGCCTTGGAGTTTAAAAGTGAGGTTTTGTTGACAGAATTCCTCTCTCCCCGCTTACGATACACCCAACAGAAATCTGGTAATGCTGAAAGCTGAAACTGGACACAATTCTAACGAGTGCACAGAAGCCAGCAATACCTACTTTTGGAGAAGCAAAAGTACATTTTAGCTTTCGGGTCTCCACTGCATGTGCCATTTCTTTCCATTCACTGAACAGGTCATCTCGATAGGCCAAGGACACATCAAGCGTAATTTCTGCATTCTCTTCTGCAAGAGTAAAACTTGTTATGAAAGGAACAGTATGTAACAAAGAAGTAAACATTTCAGAACATATATGAGGACAAGCTCTGATTTTACACATGGTGAATGAAATCTCTCTGGACCAACTCAATCCCATTTACCCTCTGTAGGATGTTTATCTACTCTCCATTAGGAGTCAACTAAGTCAAAGTGACAGAGCTTTATTGTCATCCATGTTGGATAGTCTTTTCTGTGCTTGCTACCTAGTGTCCTGTTGCATAAGGCTACAAGTTCCAGGATACATGCGCATCATCCAAAACCCTATATCAAGGCTCTGTCGTCTCATGATCCTTTGGTCACCCACTTCACCATGACTGCAATTGAGTTTGTATTTAATTATAGCTATAAATGAAAGCAGAATTCTCACTCAAACTGGCCCTCCCTCACCTTAGGTGCAAGGAGGAGCTTATTTTTAGAGAGATCGAGCATGTTAAAAAAATCCCTTGTGTGGTCATTTTTCCTTCTGTTTTTCTCCCAATTTTATTCCTTTCATGCCCATTTTCACCATTTCTAAATGTCTGCCTCAGACTTTAGAAGCAGATGCACAAAACGATGGACAGGGTGGAGCAGTGGTTGTTCAAAGTACAGGTTACCATAAACTGCATCTGCTTTGAAATTCCTGAGAGGTGGAAGGTGGCATGGTTGCCAGCACCAGATCAGGAATCTCACCATATATGCCTTTCATTGAGTCTGAAGTGGTTTGGAAAGGCCATTTATATACAAACCATGAAGAGATATTAGGAGATCCCTTTTGCACTAACAAAATCCATCTAATCACATCCCAAATACAGTTCACAGGGAAGCAGTCGGACAAAGAACTCTGCACCCAACATAGGCTTTTGAATCTCTGGGCCCAACCCTGGATATTGTGCTCCTTTACAGTTTACAAGGGATGATATTTCAAATCGACGATAGAACAACAGATTCTTGAAGCCCTGGCTTGGCCTACGCATGTCTTCTTTTCAAGTTATATTTTTGTTGGGATTATGTAACTGTACACTCATAGAGAATGCTGGGAAGGGGTGTGGATGGGTTTGTGGTTTAGCCTTGCTATTTATAGCATGCTTGGAGGTGGTGCTCAAGCTTTCATGTGGTCGGCAACATGGTTTTTCTGAGCCATTTGTCTTATGTGTGTTCTGTGTCTTCCAGATGGATCACGAGTTCTGATACTCTAGAGCCATTTTTGCATTGGTTAGGATTCCTTGAAATACGAATACATAAAGTTCAGGTCTACTGTTTTAGCTCACTAGCAAATAACGGATAAATAGCCCAGTCAAACCTGGACCCAAAAGCCTACCCAACCTCCCCTCCCCCATTTTACAAACCCTTAAAAAAAAAAAAAAATAAAATTTAGGACTTAAAAAAAAAAAAAAAAAAAAAACTGTTCCAACTGGAACAAAACTCAACACTTCATTTTTGCAATCTAAGACATTGCTGCACTATTACTGGGGGTGAAAACCAGAATGCAAAATTAATGTATTTATTTCAAAGCCAGAAAGTCAAAACCCAGAATAATTTTATTTTCAAGTTTTCAGAGTTTTATTAAGATATATTATGGGATTGCCTCACCCATCAGAGATGCAACTTGGCCAAAGTGTTCCTTCAAATTAAAATGAAGAGGTTCTTGAATACAGTGTAAACCCCATCTGGCTGTATTAATGACACCTTTATACTTAAATCAGCTCTGTCTTTTTGGAAGTCAAAACCCAGAATAATTTTATTTTCAAGTTTTCAGAGTTTTATTAAGATATATTATGGGATTGCCTCACCCATCAGAGATGCAACTTGGCCAAAGTGTTCCTTCAAATTAAAATGAAGAGGTTCTTGAATACAGTGTAAACCCCATCTGGCTGTATTAATGACACCTTTATACTTAAATCAGCTCTGTCTTTTTGGAGAAAAAAAAAATCTGTTATCTACTTTAACCACAAAAGATTTGTAAATCCTACTTGTATTGGTTATCTACCCTAGTTTGAACTAGGGTGGTAATGTAGGCAACCGGAGTTGCAAATGAAGCCCGGGATTTGAATTTCCTGGGCTTCATTTGCCTATTGCCGGGCGCTGCCATTTTTAAATGTCCGCTTCCTATTCCGAACTACCGTTACTCCTCGTCAGAATAGGAAGCCTAGTCCGAACTATCTAGTCCGTGCCGCGTGTAGCCGCGCGGTACGGAGTCCGCACTAGCGGACATTTAAAAATGGCAGCGCCCGGCAATATGCAAATGAAGCCCACGAAATTCAAATCCCGGGCTTCATTTGCAACTCCGGTTGCCTACATTACCACCCTAGTTCAAACTAGGGTAGTAGTGTAGACATACCCTCAGATAGTTAACTGTTATTTCATTTTTTTGTTCAGCTGGATAAACACTGCTGATGCTCTTGCGGATTTAAAAAGAAAAAAAAAACAGATGTATAGTTGACATACAGTATACACTTAACATACTGTAGAAATAGGAGCAAAAGTGATCACCCCATTATATTTGGCTGCAAGACAAGGGAGTGTTTTTTGAACTGGATGCCAGCCACAAGTGTCAAGAGTCACAAGAAAAGTCATTGGAGGAATGAAGAAAGACAGACTCACCATCAACTTATTATTCAATTCTTGTAGCGCCCAATACACAGTCTGCTTTCCAAACAGAAGCAAGGCACAATATTTGTCCTGAGAAGCTCATGTTTTAAGTTAGGGAAAAACTGAAAAAGGAGCATGGGGAAAAAATACAACATACAAATAAAGTAGTCAAAGTTGTGCTTCTTGGGCTAGTTGGTATAAAGTTAGCTACCCGTAAGGAATGTAGGATGGCAGAAAATTGGGTATTGAAGAGGGATTCAAATAGAGAGTAAGGGTTTCATAAGCAAAGTTACAAGAAATACAAAGGCCCCTAAACAAAGAGTCTCACCCAACTGACTCCCTCATATACCATGAAGGGCTCATCTTTATATTGATCTTTTATCTTCTTTTGGAGATCCCTACTGCAGATCCATATAGAATGCTCTTTGGGCTCAGACAGTTGCAGGATGGGGATACAGCCCATTTAAGATAACTCCAGGTACTTTTGGGGGTGAGAGTAAGGATCTCCTCATCAAAAAATATAATCAGAACCAGGTTATATACAATAGGCAATGCCTTCAAGGCTTTGGAGAGGCAGCCATACATCCTTCCTATAAAAAGAAAGAGTCACGTGTGGGCAGAAAAAGGCAGACTGGAGTGCAGAGGGGGGTACTATTTTCTCCATAGTTTAGGTATAAGGAGAGATTTCTCCATAGTTTAGGTATAAGGAGAGATTTTCTTATATAGGGAGAAAAAGTAGGGGTGGAAGGGAGACAGGTCAGGTGCTGCCGAGTACCTATTCATATAGTCAGCATGCCAAACAACAATGTTCAGGGAATTAGTTATTCAGTTCCTCCATGTCTTGCATATAGAGTTGCCAAATGGTTGAAACAAAAATACCGAACCCCCCCCCCTTCCCCCCCAAAAAAAACACCGGGGAAAAATTCTGTTGAAGGAATTTAAAAAAAAAAAAAAAAAAAAAAAAAAAGGAGTAGGAGACCACAGTTATTGAGGAAAAAAAAAAAAAAAAAGAGAGAGAGAGAAAGGGAGAAAATAAAACAGCATGTCCCCTTTAACAGTGAGTGCAGGAACAGGCAAGCGGTTGAGCACTAAGACCCTTGGTCGGCAGCCATTTTGTGCCAGCAGCCTTGCACAGCCAGGTAAGCATGGGGGCTGGGGGTATTGGGAGCCAGGAGGGAGGGCTCAGGAGAAGGCCGGGTGCTGAGTGTTTGTAGGGTTGCCAGGTGCCTGGCATTTTCGCCTCCTGGCTGGGGAGGGTGAGTGAGAGAAATCAGAAAATATCGGATATTTTAGGTGTCCGTTCTTCTCTGAATTTTTTTTCCCCAGACAGGAGCTGAAAATACCAGACTGTCCGGGTGAATACTGGACACCTGGCAACCCTACTATGGCTCCAAAAACCTGAAGTGCGTTGGGCTACACACAGACGTGGCATCTGCCACCTCCTTTAGTGTCAAAACAGGAGATTGGTCAGACACTTATAATAGGCTACAGCAGTGTTTCTCAAAGTGGGACAGGGGCCCTCTTTGGGAAAGCCGCTAGCAGGCCCACACTGCTTTGTTTACCTAAAGCAGTGGTCCCCAACGCGGTGCCCGCAGGTGCCATAGCGCCCGCCGGGGCATTTGTGTGCGCCCGCCGACAACCTGGGCTGGCCCCGCCCCCGGTGCACGGGAGACGCCGGCCCCAGGCGATTGACATGCACCGGCGCCGGGTGCGCCGCG